CTTTCTGTACTTAGACTAAGCAGGCCTCAAATTGACAATCTTCCTCCTTCAGCCTCCTGACTTGCTGGGACCACACACCTAGGACACCAGGCCCACTAATACCTATTTTTAATTTAAAAGAACACATTTCATTCTTTCTTTAAAATGGAAAATCTCTCTCTTGAAACACAGGTTCAAAAAAGATTTTAAAATTTATTCATCATCCTCTCCCATCTCCTCTAAGTTTGGGTCTAGACATTTTACCTTGAAGCTGTTTATGTGTTTAAACTATTCTTTCTATTAAGACCAGAAGCTTTGGGTAGGGCTGAATTAGGGATGGGTGAATCCAGCTGAACTTCTGAGTTCACTGAACATCTCCGATGAGCTTTCTGAATGTTTGGGGCTCTCTGAAATCCAAAACAGGTTTCACCCGCTTTTTCTCTTAAGTTTGGGGCATGTGCAATTTAAGGGAAATTTAACCCATATGTTTCTGATTCGTTTACACTTAAATAGTCAAAATATTGTTTTTAATAGTTATTTGATGCCCAAGTAGCCTTTTGAACCTTTTAAATAAGCTTTTAGAAGCCTGCATTTCTCTTGAAAACAGGAAGTCATGTCTTTCCAGGGAGGTAAACTAATTTATACATCTGAAAATTCAGGTTCAGTTGAGAACACCCCAAACCACAGTTTTTTGATGGCCTGTCTAGTTCGCAATTGAGCACTCAGTCTCAGACGTTTGTGTGTACCCACCTTTTCTGCACATTACACCACACATCCAGTTCAGCCGGCACTGGGCCATGTGGAGCGCTAGACTCAGCCTGAAGCTTGCAATTTACGTGGTTTTTATTTGAGAGCAACTATTCTGATTTTTTAATCCATTCTAGCTTTCCTGGTCAGTAAACTAATGTGACTATTTATTTTTCCAGATACTTCATGCTTGGTGAACTTCTTGCCATTTTCTTCCTTTCCTTCACTGATTATCATTTATTTTTCTTTAAATAAATGAAAGTATCTGCTCTCCAGTAGAGATATGCCTGATTCCAACGGAGATGTGAACATCATGCCACCTGTGTGCCAAGGAGCTAAGGAAATTAGACAATAAACATTGAGAGCTACAAAGGGGAAGGTGGTCGGTTATTTTAACTCACTTAGGGAATTTGCCTTCAAGCCCACAAGAACTTGCTTGGAAACACCCAGAGCATGGCAGCGTGAAGCCTCACTCCTGCAGGACCACTTCCGCATACTTCCCAGCATGCTCTCTGCCAACATGCTCTCTGCTCAGAACTCTGGACTTGCTTGTCTTCTCTGCCAAATCTTCTGAAACTTACTTGACTTTATTTGGGTTCCCGGTCCATGGACACTATCTGTGTGAAAGGCCTCCCTTGGCTACCCTGAAGAAAAAAAAAAGCCTTCCATTCTCTCAGCTCTGTCTGCTTCCAGCCTTTGTCTAGCTTTCTATTTCCTTTACAGTAATTAGGAAAATCTCTCTCATACCATATTCCCATTTTTTTTTTTCTGTTTCTGCCTCCCCGAATAAGAAGGTAATCTTTATGAGTGTCTGTGACTTTTTGGCTCACTGCCTTGTTAAAAATGTGGAAAACATGTAGACCTCAGTAAATGTTTCCTAAATGTCATTTTGTTGTACACCTTCTCAGATAGCCATTTCTACTTCAGAGCGTTTATAAATACTCACCGTTGCTGATCAGGATGGAGGTGGCTGAATGTGCTTAGTCTCACTGTGTTCCTGACTGGACCAGCCATGCTTTATGTGACTCAGTTTCCTTATTTGAAAAATTAAGATTAAATCAGTACTTAGCTCACGGGGTGTTTTTTTTTTTTTTATAATTTTTATAAAAGTACATAAAGCCTATAATAAAAAGCCTAGGAAATAGTAAATATTTAAGAAATTGGAGTAAAAAGTTCATTCACTGAACTCTAAGGCAGAGGGCTGTTCTGGGAATAGAATTGCACTTTTGATTTTGAAATCTAGCTGAAGCAAATTTAGGCTTGAAGGGCAGGAATGGCCTCAAAAACATCTAGGACTAGGGAACTCAGCCATGCTTAGGTCTCTTCGGAATGGTGTAACCCTGAGAGAGAATGGGGAGGACAGAGTGCTAGGTGAAGCAGGAAAAGGCACCGGAAATGGCATGGGAGCAAGGGAATCTGTGACCTGGAAGTATAACAGAGTCCTCTGGCTGCTGTGATAGGGCTCATCAATACATATCAGACATTTATTTCTCTTAATTGCAGTGGCTGAGAGGATAAGAACAGGCAGCCTATGGATCCAGTACCCAGCTGGCCGATACGTCTCACTGTGTCCTCTAACAGTGGGAGGGGGTGAAGCAGATCTCAGGTCCCCTCTGTATGGCGAGGTCCTCATTCCATGCAGGAAAATCTGTTCAACTAACCCCATCACCTCCCAAGTGCTACACCTCCATGTACAACACAGGGAGTTTACGGTTCTAATGCGGGGATTTAACAAGGCAACTCCATGTAGTTAAGAGGAGGTTTATTTTGGAGTAACTTACAGCCAGCAAAGGGGTTGGTTACAGGATCCAGGAGAGGTGATGTGCAGTCCAGTGGGGGTCTCTGGAGAACTCTGACTCTGTCTGCTACTCAGCATCCAGGATCATGAGGAACCAAGAGGGCCGGCATGTCCAGATCTCGGGTCTTAAGGGCTCCTGTCCTGGCCATGCCTCAGGGCCAGGTCCTAGGCAGGCGTGGCAGTTACCGGCTACCTCCCTGGGGCGGTGCGTCAAGGTCAAAGCTGAAACAGCTCCCCACTACAGGGTTCTGCATGTGAATTTGGGGTGGCCATGCAAACATTCTCACTGTAACAGTAGCATCGTAAGTGCTGAGTGATTTGCTGTAGATGGATCATAGGGGTTGGCAAAGTATTTGATGCTCTTCCTGATGGCCATAGAAAAGTCAGCAAACATTTTTTAGCAGAAAAGTGACATTATCAGGTTTAAGTTGTGTTGGCAGTCACAGAGTTCCAAGGACATCTCGAAGTCTAGTGAAGCTCGTTTGAACTTCAGTCCTACATTTTCCTCAGTCTCTCTGTAGACCTGGTAGAAGACATTAAAAGAAGGCTGTTGGGTGTCCCAGGCCTTTTTGACTCAAGGTTTCTGTTCTAATTGAAGGACTTGAGTGGGTGGACTCTCGCTTTACCCTGCATGTCCCAACAGTCAACTCCTGAAATAAGTATAATTTTGTCCCCCACTCCATGCTCTTCTTCTGGAAAATGATGACCTCCAATCTATCCTGGTTTTTTTTTTTTTTTTTAGTATGTTGAATATTTGTGAGAGGAGAGAAGAATATTATTTTCATTTCTAAAAATGTTCCTCTGAAGGCAGTGTGGTTGAGGAATGAAAATGAGAGGCAGGTAGATCAGCAGGAGGTATAACTAAAAGGCAGAACGTGGTTCTGAAGTAAGGCAGTGGCTGCGGCGGCAGGGATGCTGAAAGAGCATGTCTGAGGGTCTAGATCTAGGGATCAAGTTAAACTATGGCAGTGATTCAGGAGACTACTATAATCTAGAGAGCCATGGGAGGGGTTTCTAAGAGATTTAGAGTTCTGCTAGTAATTTAGAATTTGTTTTGGATTAATTAATTCAGAATGACATTTACCATTGTATAACATACAGAATCAAGTGTGTACTTTGGGAGGACATTTATGAAGTCAATTGGGGCAAGTAGGTTTTGCAAAATTGAATGGAGATGGTACTAAATATTTAGGTGTCCACATGTGGAACTCAGTGACTGGAAAAGGTGGGCTTGAGACTCAAGGACTATGTGTAAGTGTGGGCTTCAGAAAGGCAGAGACAGGGTCTTCACCAAAGAGCACGCTGTTTTTCTTACATAGCAGAAAGCCCAGAGCTCAGCAGCCTGGAACTGCTAAAGTAACTTCACATTCACCAGCATTTCTGGCTCATTTTTATCTGTGTCCTCACCTCAGTGTCTTTGTGTTGGTTTCCTAGAAACTGAGTCTGAGGAAGGAATCCATGTCAGGAGACTCAATAAGGGAGTGTTCTTTAGGACAATACCTGCCAGGTAGAGTATGAGGCAGGGCAGGGAAGGGAAGAGAGCAGGAGTCTGTGAGCACCCCGCCTAAACAATAGAATGAGTCATGATGAAGAAAGAGCATGATGACTCCAGGTTTGTGGACAAGGAAAGTCAAGGGAATGGCACGACGCCGCTGCCCTCCAGTTACTCTCTAGCTCATTGCTCCGCACCAGCCAGAGAGATGGAGGAGTCAGCTGGTTGAAGACATGGTTAAAGATTATTTGAAATATTTTATTAGTACATCCTAGTTATACACAATAGCGGGTTTCGTTATGACATTTTCATCTTTGTGTATAACGTACTTGATCATGTCACCTCCACTCCCTCTGTCATTCCTCTCTGTTCCCGTCGACCCCCTTCCTCTTTCAACCACCCCCTTCTACTTACATGACTTCTTTTTAAGTGATGCAATGAGTTTTGTTGGGTCTGCTTACAGGATCATGGGTGAGGGGTTATTTGCAGGAACACAGGAAAAATTATTTGTCTTGATTGTGCTTTTTCAGTACTGGAGATCAAACTGAAGGACACTTGGGCAAGCATTTTATTCTTAAACTGCTGGCCTCAAAAGGATTTGAAATGACAGAGCTGTCTAGCCATGCATGCACCAAGGGGACACAGCCAGTAGAATGGGGGGACAATTAGAAATGAGTGGAACTGGCTGGTAGTGTGATCTAGAGTACAGAAGCAAAGAGGGAGTGTGACATGAAAAGGTGCCTTTTACTGATCCAGGAAGGAAAGACATAAGGGTAAGAGAGTTTACAGATGGCTTTTGATCGTGCTAAGTGAGGAGCTGAGAAATCCTTTCAGTATTGAATTTAAATTTATATCATTGGCAAACCACGGAAAAGGTCATCCGTGAGCAAATGTGAGTGGAGGTGTATGCTGAGCGTGATGGGCTAGGGAAGATCCGTAACATCCATTGAAGGACGCAGGGGAGATATTGGCTTGGCGTTGCTGGGAGAAGTTGCCGGGCAGCACTTCAGGCCCAGCAGAGGGTGACAGTGATGACTCTACAGCCATGGCAACTGTGTCTGTGGTTTTTCTCTGGCAGCAGCGTTTGGGGTGAGTCAGACTGTTAAATCAAGAGGAATATGTGCGTGGTCCACATCAAGTTCAAGCTGCTAAATACCTTCCAGGTGTAGATGACTTGAATGGACTTAGGGACTTAGGGGATCAGCAAATAGACACATGAACTTTCCTTTGGTTAATTGGTATTGAAACTGTCATTAATTATGATTTAGAGGCTAAATGCAGTCAGAGTAGATTAGTCTTTAAGAAAAAGTTCATAGTCTGGGAAAAATTGGTCTACTTTCTACAAGTTGATTTGGGTTGTGATTTTATCTACTTGACAGTCCGTTAGCCCAGAGCCCTGAAGTCCATGTAGACTCTATGGCCAGATGAGTTCCTAACAGGCATCACTGCCCAGGAACCTGCTTCTCGTGCCTTAGAGTGCATGTCTGAATGTCTCACCTGAGGGGTCAAAGCCTTGTGCTTCTCCTACCTCCACCTACTTCCCTTACCTTCCCTACTACCTCCTGTACCCAGCATGCATAGCATCCTGGTTAGGAGCTCTGGCTCTTCATTCATGTTTGAAACTAGTTTTGCACATGACCAGCTGTGTGGTTGTAAGAGACTTAACCCCTTTATTTCTATTTCTGTCTAGTAACACAGAGCTCCTGCATAAAGCCTGACAGAATGATGATGATTAAACAATACAACGTGCTTAGGACCATGCCTGGGATAGTTACAGCATTTTCAGAATCATACTTAATTAACTTGGCTTCCATGGGCATAGGTACTAACCCAAGTCCTTTGTAAAGTCATTTAGTCCTATAAGAAGCCCCTGAATAGGTTATATTGTTCCAGATTTGCAGATGAAGAAGCTGGGGTATAGGGAAGTTAGCAGCTTACTATGTTAAAGGCTGACAAGAGCCAGAGTAACATCTCAGATTCAGGAGTCAGCCTGCAGAGGTCTGGCGTTCTTTTACTGTTCTATTTCCTTTAAAGGAGTGGCCCCAGTAAATACTGTACTTACAGTCTCTCGAACATGTTCTACGTATGCATTTCTACCTTCTTGTTATTATTCACATACTCTATCCTGTCAGAAAAGCCTTTCCCCCTTTTCTGCCAGAGTCCTCTTAATTTTTTGAGTCTGCCTCCATGTTTGCCCCTTCCTGTGATTCCTCAGTCCCTGGTGGTCCTTCTGTCTGAGTTCACGGCACTTACTGTCTGTGGAACTTAGTTAACCCCATGTCTGCCTTTGTTTGTTATTGTTATTGTTGTTATCATTTCATGTGTGCATGTGAATGTGGGGTACATGTATATAGTTTATGTACGTGTGTGTGTGTGTGTGTGTGTGTGTGTGTGTGTGTGTGTGTGTGTGTGTGTGTGTGTGTGTAGGGGAGTATGTGTGCTTGTGAGCATGCACGGGGGCATGCATGTGAGCATGCACGTGGGCTGGGCGAGGGCACAGGTGTTCTGTGTCACTATCATTCTCCACCTGATTCCCATGGTACACGGTTTCTCATGGAATCCAAAGCTTGGCTGGTGGCCAGTGAGCTTGTCTTTTTCCTGTCTGTCTCCAGCAGCCCTAGAGTCACAGACATGTGTGGATGTGCCCAGTCTTTACTTGGATACTGAGGTCTAAACATAGGCCCTCATACTTGTGTGGTGAGCTCTCTTAATGCTGAGCCATCATTCCAGCCCCTGCCTTTGGTTCCCAGCTAAGAGAGCATTCACAGAGGCAGCAATCCTCTGTGTTACCTTCTTTGCATCCTCTGCACCCATTAAACCAAAGCACTTTTGAATCTTCTCATCAGAAGCCCCAGATCTAGACATGATACTTAATAAACTCAAGTAACCTAAGATAAATTCCTTATCACTTGGACCTTGATGATTTCATCTGTAAATGGGGTTAATAACACATCTGTATTAGTACCAAGAATAAATAAAATCTGCATATGAAAAGTGTTGAGTCTATGTACGATCCAGATGCTTGCATTGGCGTGCTCTCCCTGCCTGTTTGTCAGTAAGCAGATGAATGCATAGATGCCTGCTCTCACTCTTGTTATCCGAGCTGGCCTCTCAACCATGCTGGATACCCTTTCCTTTGTAAGCAGAGATGAGGAAGGAGGTGCACAGGATGCTTTGAAGGAATTGAGACCTGCGTGGCTCTCAGCTTTGGACTGAAGCATGAAGGTCTCTAGGGTAGAGAAGAAAGGGACAGTGTAGCTAGAGTTTTCCTGCCTGGCCCACAGTCAGGACAAATCTCTCTCACCCGCCAGTCCCACAGCAGCTCAGACCCAACCAAATAAACACAGAGACTTATATTGCTTACAAACTGTATGGCCATGGCAGGCTTCTTGCTAACTGTTCTTACAGCTTAAATTAATCCATTTCCATTAATCTATACCTTGCCACGTGGCTCGTGGCTTACCGGCATCTTCACATGCTTTTTCTCATCATGGCAGCTGGCAGTGTCTCTCTGACTCAGCCTTCTACTTCCCAGCTTTATTCTCCTCCTTGTCCTTCCTGTACTTCCTGCCTAGCCACTGGCCAATCAGTGATTTATTTATTGACCAATCAGAGCAACACATTTGCCATACAGAACATCCCACAGCAGGACAGAATGTATGAGGGGATACCTGAGGTCATGGCATGTAGACGTCAATCTACCTGTTTGCTCAAGCAACGCCTTGTCTTGTGTCTTTCACAAGTAGAGACACACTGAAACTCTCAGATTTTTATTGTTGACCCGCACATCAGAGATGGGCCTGTCTGGAGTTCTTCTCTTGGCTCCAGGGCAAAAAATTCCTGCCAATTTCTTCTCATCCAAGTTCAGCTTGAACTTTAATTCCCTACCCACAAGAAGAGTCCATCCAAGATTCCACATGACTGACACAACATTTCAAGATCTGTCTAGCCCCATACCCATAGATTTCCAAACAATACGCCACAGTCCTCAATTCTCAGGGTCACTGGTGTGAGTCCAGCTCACTGTCCACAGAATTCTTCCAAAAATAAGTTATGAGCATCTAAGTTCTCAGTGTTAATGGTACACACTAGTATCTGGTTTCTATCACTTTTCTGTGGTGAAGAACTTCATGACTTGATCACCCTGCCCACTGGGGATCTCTCTGTCTTATTCTGATTGTTTATTACTCCACTTTACTTTGGGCTCTTTATTCTGCTGTGAGACTATCTAAACCTCTTTCCTACCTCCTTCCTTAGTCTTGATATGAATCCTATAGCCCACAAATAGTGGTCATTGAGTGACTAAAGAGAAACAAACCAGTGAGCAGTGGAGGAGAAGGAAATGAACCACCCTGGGAGAGAGGATTTGGAGCTGCAGGGTTTTGAGTTTCAGGTATCTCTTGGGTCAGAAGAATTATTTCATTGGATCCTGCCTTCCCTGTTTCTATCTGTAATACAGATTTTTCAGACCACAGCCCAATGAGATTTAGTCTCTCTGTGTTTACACACAGGGTCTCAAAAGAAAACCTCAGCCTTCCTGTTGGTGTCTAACCCTGGAGGGGGGTTAGAAGGTTAAGAGTACCGTGTTTGCTTCAGCTGTGGTTAACCCCCACCACACATCACCCATCTGCTGCTCACTGGAATTTTGCTCAGGCTCTGGTAACACATGGTACACTGCCCATTGGATTATCCCTTCTTCTCTGGGCTTCTGCTAGCCACTTTCCACAGAACCAAGGCCTACTTCCCCCTGAAGTAGTTAATTCCTCAGTTTAAATCTTCGTCTTCTGCTTACAGGAGGATCACCACCCAGGAGTCTGTAACATTACTGGAGTGTGGGTAGAGACGATGCCCACTCGTCCAACTGTGGCCCACTAGAATCTCTTGGTAAGTCTACATTCTTACTCATGTATGCTTTTATCTGTTTTTGTCCATTTTTCTATACGTCATGGCACAATATTATTAGGTACATATAAATTTAATTGTTTTTAATCTCCTAAAAAGATGGGCTGAAACTTTTATCACTGTGAAATGTTTTTTTCTCCTCTGTGAATTTCCATGCACTTAATTTTTTTCTAGTATTAACATAGGCACTCCAGGTCTCCTTTGGGCAGAGCCTGCAGGGGATATTCTCAACCTTTCCATAGAACTTACACCTAACAGCACTATTTTTTTGTAATTAGCATTATTTCTTTTGTATTCAGCACACAGTTATTAATTTTTTTATATCTGGCAATCTTTTTTAGTTTTTGTATTCATTTGCATCTTGCACAATTACTGATAAGTATGGACTGTACATTTTTTATGGTCTTAGGTTTTGTCTATTTTGTCTGCCTTGTACTAATTTTCTTTTTTTCTATTGCCTTCAACTGGGTTAGCTAATTTGTGTTATTAAAGTTTTATATTATTTTGTATTTTTATCTGTGCTGGCTAGTTTTTATGTCAATTTGACACAAGCTAAAGTCATCTGAGAGGAGAGACACTCAATTAAGAAAATGACTTCTTTAAGATTGGGCTATAAGCAAGCCTGTAGAACAATTTTTAGTGATTGGTGGGGGAGTGCCCAGTCCATTGTGGGTGGTGCCATCCCTGGGCTGGTAGTCCTGGGTTCTATAGGAAAGCAGGCTGAGCAAGCCACACAGAGCAAGCCAGTAAACAGCACCCTCCATGGCCTCTATTTCAGCTCCTGCCTCCAGGTGCCTGCCTGTTTGAGTTCCTGCCCAGGCTTCCTTCAGTGGACTGTGACCCAGAGTAAGGGAGCTAAATATGCCCTTTGCTCCGCAAGCTGCTTTTTGTCACAGCGCTTTATCACAGCAATCGGAACCCTGAGTAAGACAATGTCAGATCTTTTTCCTTCTTTTTAATGACCTCCTCCCCCATCACTTTGGCCATGTTATTCCCGCAAGCTCTCCAGTTCCCACTGTTTGCACGACAGTTGCAGTGTTTCTCTTTGGTTGAACTTTGAGAGCTGGTTGCTTTCTTGGCGGGTTGAGTGTTGTCTGCCCTTTCCATCTAGTGTGAGCTGGTTTGTCATGTCTCACGTGGTTTTCTTAGTTCTCTCTTGTTCACTTATTCCTTTTATAGAATTTGTTTTCCCACACTTTTATTTGAGACCATATTTATTCCTTCTTTGCTTTTGATTCCTTTAATTAACTTCTGCATTGCTCTCTTGATGGTCATGAGTTGCTTAGTTTGTGTTTGTTTTGAATTATGATTATTTCTCTCTCCATTTTAAAGGTCAACTCTTGGACAGACATTTTTGTTACCAGCCATTCACTCTCAGACCTTACAGTATTTCATTCTGTGCTTTCCTGGCCTTGAGAGTTACTGATGAGGGTCTGATGTCATTCTCATGTGTTGCCTTTGTGGGTTTGCCCTTTCTCCTACAGCTTCCCACACTGCTTCTTTGTTTGGTACATTTAGCATCTTGTTTATAATGTGTCGTGGAGAAGTTTCTGGTTGTCTGTTTCTGGTTCTAAATACCTGGATGTCTACTTCTTCACCTAGATCTGGGACATTTGCTGCTATAATTTCACCAAATAGACTTTTATGACTTTATTATTATTATTATTCATCTTAGCTCGTTTTATCCCGAAGATATTTTGGTTGGATTTCTTGGTTATATCCCAGAGTTCTTAGATGTTCTGGTCTTACAGTTTTTCTTCATTGGTATTTGAGTGGAGTGTTTCCTCAGTCTTCTCCTCCAGTCCTGCTAATCTTTCTTCTCTGGGTTTAGTCTATTGGCAATGTTTGCTATCACGTTTTTGAATCATTGAGATTTTAATTTTTGGACATTTCTGAATTTTTTGAAAACATCCATTCCCTCACAACTTTCTTGTTGATTCTGACTCTCTTCTCGGCCTCCAGCATTGATTCCCTTACTTTATCTGTTTGCTTGTGTCTTTTTAAAAGTCATTGATTTTATTTTATTTTTTACAGAAACTTCTGAATTCTTCATCTGGAAGCTTACACACTTCAGTGTCTCTGGGTTCATTAATTGAGAAGTTATGATCATGTCAAGCAGTCATGTTGTGTTGCTATTTCTATGTTTTGTGTGTGTGACTGTGTGTGTGTTTCTGTGTTGCAATTTGCACTTTGGTCAGCTGCAGAGAGACTCTTTCTGGTTGACTCTATCATCTATCTTCTGAGCATCTGTCATGAATGTCCTTGTGTATCTCAAGATATGAAATGTTTCAACATTTACTTTGTTCTATATTTTCTATTCCTTTCCCATTTTTTCTCCTTACAGATCCCAGGAAAGCAAGAGTTTGTTCCCTTTCTAATGTGTCATGCATCTTAAAGGTTTTTTTTTTTTATTTTTATTTATTTATTTATTTATTTTGGTTTTTCGAGACAGGGTTTCTCTGTGTAGCTTTGCGCCTCTCCTGGAACTCACTCTGTAGCCCAGGCTGGCCTCGAACTCACAGAGATCCGCCTGCCTCTGCCTCCCGAGTGCTGGGATTAAAGGCGTGCACCACCACCGCCCGGCTATTTTTGATATTTTAATTACTCTTCTTTATGTGACTTGGGCTATTTCTGGAGACTTCTATATGAATAAAAATTATTATTATTATTATTAGAGACAGGGTCTTTATGTATCCCAGCTGACCTCAAACTTGGTATTTAGCCAGCGATGATCCTGACTTTCTGATCCCACTAGCTCTTCTTCCCAAGCGTGGGGACTGTGAGCCTTTACACAACATCTGGTTTTTGTTACCTTGACATAAGCCAGGGTCGTCTGGGAAGATAGAGCCTCTACTGAGAAGATGTCCCCATCATATCGGCCTGTGGGCAAGTCTGTGTGACATTTTCTGGATTAATGATTGATGTGGAGGTCTAGCCTACTATGGGCAGTGCCATGCCTATACATGTGCTCCTGGGTTGGGTTTATAAAAAAGCAGAATGAGCAAGCCATGAAAAGCAAGCCAGAGCATAAATCCTCGGTGGTTTCTGCTTCCGTTTCCACCTCCAGGTTCCTGTCCTGCCTGAGTTCCTGCCCTGACTCCCCTTAGTGACAGACTGTAACAGGGACATATAAGCCAAATAAACCCGATTTCCTCTCTGAGTTGCTTTTGGTCACGGTGATTATCTCAATAACAGAGAGCAACCTGAAACAAAGACCCTCATTATAAAAGTCTTCCTCTTGACAATGCATCCTGAGCTCTGCTGTCTTTGGTACCAGGTCAACCCTATAAGAGAGAAGGGTGAACCCTACAGTGAGGTCAGTGAATAGTGAACCCTACAGTGAGTCAAGTGAATAGTGAACCCTACAGTGAGTCAAGTGAATAGTGAACCCTATAGTGAGGTCAGTGAAGGGTGAACCCTATAGTGAGGTCAGTGAATAGTGAACCCTACAGTGAGGTCAGAGAAGGATCAATCCTATAGTGCTCCCTGGGGATGAGGGTGACAAAGCTGCAGGTAACCTGAGATGTAGCTCCTCTGGGTGATGCAGCTTCATTGTTGGATCTGGACACGTTGCTCTCAGCTGTGAGTGTGGAGTGCCCATTAGTTTTCAGAGACTGAGTTTGGTCCCTTTGGTATGGCACGGTCTGATCGAAAAGGAGTGAGTGCTTACCTGTGGCCGGAGCTTTGGCCCCGTCCTGCACCAGTGGCTCCACATAAGGCATTGAGGCGGCATGTCCCCCCTCAGGGGTCTGACTTTAGAGGAGACCTTCCCGGCTGTTCATGGAGTTAAGATGGCTCCGTGTCTGCCTGTTCTTCTCAGAACGGGGTTCTTGGCTGCAGCTTAAAGGAAAGCTCAGCCCATTTCTATTTTATGCTTTGGATGTTTTGCCTGCATGCGTATCTGTGGACCATATGTATGCTGTGTGTCCTCAGAGGCAGGAGGAGGGTGTCAGATCCCCTGGAACTGGAGTTAAAGAAGGTTGTAAGCTACCATGTAGGTGATGGGAATTGAACCTGGGTCCTTTAAGAGCAGCAGGTGCTCTTAACCCCCGAATCATCTCTTTAACCTCACTGGCTGCTTCTTGGCACTAAAGAAGATGGACAGGCCTGTCTGGCTGCTTTGTTGGGCATTGCCAATCAGATCAGCTGCCCCATGACTTCCAGGGTTGAAAGTGCTTGCTAGGTCTGAGGACTGCTTCCTGGGGGTAACCTGCACCAGGTGAGCTGCTCAGGTGTCTCCTGGGTCACAGATGGATCTGTTCATCTTCTATTTTTGCTTGTGCTTTATAATTTATCTTCACAGGAATTCTTTCGGTTGAGTAACTTCGCTCTTTCTGCAGCTACTGAAAATCCACTGTGGGACGAGAAAGCAGTGCTTTTCAAATGTGGCTTGTTTTTAGTCACCTAGTATGCTTTTTAAATGTGTTACGTATTTAAGAGTGTGTACATATAACAATTAATGAGAAAAAGTGGCCATGAATTTGAAAGAGAACAAAGGGATGGGTAATGGGAGGGTTTGGAGAGAAGAGTCTCAAAAAAATAAAAGAAATAATTAAAGGAAAACCATGTTGGTGGTGCTTTTCAAAACCACTTACCTCTGAAGCATCTCTCCAGTGACTGCATTAGACTGTCCTCCCTTTGCAGGCAGGAGATTCAGGCAGAGAAGGAAGAGCCTTGCGTCAGGGTGTGAGCATCTTCTTCCCTTTCTCCAGAGTGATAGTTCTGTGAAGTGACTGGAAGTTTCCTTTATCATCACAAAGAACAAAGGAGCCACCTTCCCTGGGGCTGGCCTTAGGTGACTTTCATGCACAGCACATGTGGATTGCATGAACACCCCTTGAACTCTGGAGCCCCAGTTTCACAGGTTTGAGTAACACCCTTGCTCAAGCAATATGGTCATAGTTAAATATTCCCGAGAAGCTCCTGAGGTCTGTTACCAGTTTGCTTAGTGAGGATCCTGTAATAACAGACCTGAGGTTCACACACTAGGAGGGCCAGCCTTGGGGAGGTCATCGTAACTCGCCTTAATCACACCACCACACAGTTTAGCTGCTTTACCAGGACATCTTCCTTGTGAAGTCAACAAAGATGACAGTGTCTGTCTTGTCATGGGACCTGTAAATCTAAGTTGACTGGGGGAGGTGGTGTTGACTGGCAGTGCAAAGACAGGATTTTTATTTTTTCTTTTGTTCTTCTTTTTGTAAAATCTCTCACCCCACATATTTTAATAGGAAAACAACTTCCCACGAATAAAATTACATACATGCTCCTCTATGATATTTAAGGCTCAGCTTAAATGCAGAGTTACTGCTCTTCTCGGTGTAGCTGGCACAGGAAACAATAAATGTGGAAGGAATTCCTTGCCAACAGCTGAGAAAGTTACTTCTCTTCTCAGAGCAGGTGGAAGTGCCAACACTGTACAGGGCCTCCCAGTTGTCTTTAATCTCTGAATCTCAAAGCACCTTGCAGACAATTCCTATTAACACACAAAACCCCATGAAATGTTCGTTCTCCTTAAATTTCCTTTCACATGGCCTTTTCTAGGAAGCAGTAAGTCTGGGCTCCCTTCACCGAGGTCTTTGGAATTGTAAATGAACAAAGAGGGCTTGATCCTTTCTTTTATCGAATCATGATTTTTGTGTCTTACATTGATTGTCAAACCTCATCATCCCCAGAGCACCTGTGTCCCTGGATGCTTTGATATAGTGAGCATGGCCATGAAGCTCAAATCCTAGACAGGTGGCAGTCTGTTTGTTCCTTAGATGTTACGCACAGGATTTGGAGATAGTTTATTAACCTTTTTCTTAAGTGTCTGAAGGACGCCCATTAAAACTCATGAAGCAGATACTTAGGAGACACAGGTCTAATTTTGGTTAGAATAAGAGTCCTCACAGGCTAGACTGGCTTCTGAGTAGCACATGGGAAAGCTTTCTTTTGGTTTCTTCAAAGAAAATGATTGAGAAAAATGAATTAATGGGACTTTCAGCCAAGATATGCTTAGGCACCGAGACATGTAGCTGTATGGTTTTTTCAAGGCATTGAGAGAGTTTTTCCTAGGTCATTTCATTGACCTACATAAAGTGGCTAGATTAATCATGTTATTATGTTAGAATGGTTATGTTTTCCGACTTTCAATTCTATTGTGAATTTTATTTCTTTCATTGGTATTGATGGGTCTGATTTTTCTCCAGTAGGATGTTCCAAAGTGTTCTCTTTTCTCATTCTGAAATACAAA